CTGGAACAAGTTGATCCTGAGGTTTATTTAGTAGAGGCTGAGGGAAGATGAGCCCCAGAAAGGTGGTAGTTTACTAGAGGTTTGGTAGAGTCCCAGAAGGGCAGTGGTGAGAGAGAGGGAGGGAGGTACTTAAAATTAACTTATACATTTTAGTACCAGGAACCATGTTGTAGATTAAATAGAGGCTGAGGGAAGATGAGCCCCAGAAGGGTGGTGGTTTAGTAGTGGTTTGGAAGAGCCCCAGAAGGGAAGTGGTGAGAGAGAGAGGAAGGGGAAGAGAGGGGGAGAGCAAGAGAGAGATAGGGAGAGAGAGCGAGAGATAGGGAGAGAGGTACTTAAAATTAACTTACATATTTTAGTACCAGGAACCATGTTGTAGATTAAAGAGAGAATATTTTGACTGGAAAAAATTTTGGTGGGTAGCATCTTTTTCCTTTTTAAGAGCTAAATAACTGAAGGAAGTTAATAAAACCTTGTCAATCTAAGAGCATAAATCAGAGGAGATAGGAAGGACAAAAGGAAACATTAAGAGATTAGGTTAAGAATAAATAAAATGTAAATAGTACTGAAAATAATTCCATTAACTAGTTTTATTATAGTCAGTAATACCCTCTGTTGAAATTAATTTACACCTTAGCAGTTCTCAACTGTATAGTGCCTTTACTCTTAGGCTGTTTTGTTGTTCTCCTCCTTGTCACAGGGTCAAGGAGCCAGGTTGAACCTGGAAAAGTCTTGGAGAACACATTTTGAGATAATAGGCATAAGTCTGAAGTGGGAAGGCCAATCTCATCTTCAGAATTAGTTTCTCAGTGAGCTCAAATAGCATGTGACAAAAATTTAATTAATATTACCCTGACATTATAACTAGAAAGCTCTCAGGGAATGATGGGGCAGGAACATAAGCAAACATAGAGCATCTGAGTATCAGAGAGGGAAATAACTCTGTTTCAGAGAAAAACAGGCTTAGAATCACAATGTAGAAAGGGGAGGAGTTAAGACCAGTAGAGATGGCATCTGAAGCCTCTCATTTAAGTAGACTATTACTTTTTACCTCTCATTCTTGTAACTATTTGTTGGTAGTAGCTTGTCTCTTGTAAGGTTTTGGCCCTGGCGTACAGCAAATTTTCATCTGCTTGTCACAGGTCTAGTCATCACAAAGTGTCAGCTCCCCTTTCACCTTGAAGGCAAATGGCTAGAAAAACTTTAAGTTCCCTTTAGAAAC